GGGTGGGTGCATGCAGGGAGGGGGGGGGGGGAAGCTTTGACATTTCATCGGATTATTAGAGAAAGAAGACGATTCGTTGTACCGTTCTCGACTCCTAATCATTGTCTGAATTCAATTTCGAGAACGGTACAACGAATCGACTCTCGCAAAGCGCGGAAGCTTTGACGTTTCATTAATTTTTTAGAGAAAGATGATGATTTGCTGTACCATTCGCGACTCTTAATCCTTGTCTGAAATCATTTCTCGGCCCCCTTCCGCGCGAAGTGCTGAAGTTTTGACGTTTCATTAAATTATTAGAGAAAGAAGTCGATTCGTTGTACCAAGTAGTGGCGTACGCAGGATTCACCCCCCCCCCCCCCCCCCCGCTGCGTACGCGCCTGGTTGTACCGTTCTCGACCGTCTTTATCCTTGTCTGAATTTTAAAAAGTGTTTTTAAGGCTGCTCCTTTTTTCTTCCTACGTCCTCTTTGTCTCTTCCATCTCGCTTTTATTTTTTCTTCTCTTCTCTCTCTTTCTTTTTTCCTTTTCTTCTTCTCTCTCTTTTTGAGGGGGGGGGGGGGGACCGTCCCCACCGCCCCCTGGCTACTCGCCTGGTTGTTTAGCTGGTTTCTTTTTAGTTGGTAGTGCTTATTTCCACGCTGAATGCTTTTTTCAACCATTTCCATTCCACTTTTAGTTTCTCGATGTCATTTACTTCATGGAGGGTGATACTAAAATAGAATTACAACAAGTAAAAAAAAATCCAGTGACAAGTGAAAATTGTCCATTATTAATGTTTACAATCCGTGTAAGAGATTAAATGAATATAGCAGAGGCGGCGGACCCGGGGGCAGTTGTCATTGGTGTTAGGGGCACTTATAAGAATTAGGAAGAGGCACCTATTAGAATTAAATTATCTGAAGTAAAAGGGGACACTTATATCCTATGTAAAAAAAAAGTGGCATTAGGGGTACTTGGGGGAAAAGGGGAGGGGGCAGGGGCACAAATAAGGATGAAAAAGAAAGAAAACATATAGAAGTAATATAAATAATAACAATTAAGAGTGAGAGAGATAGAGAGAGGGAGTAGGAGAAAGACAAAGTTATTGGCAACAATATATGACTAATTGAAGAAGAAGATTGGTCGCTGGCGTAGCGGCCGGTCGCCAGTTTCAAGGAGTTAAAAAAGAATTACATCTCTTATCAAACAGTTACAACACGCATTTTCCCTGAGGGCACTCTTCCAATCTCTTTCTTAGTGTGTCCCTTTATAAATTATGAAGGGACACTACTCTTTCTCAAAGCGATAGATGCATGGATGCAGGGGCGTCGCCAAAGGGGGGGTGTGGGGGGGGGGTGCGACACCCCCCCACCTGTCAGGATATTGTCGGTAAAATCGCGCTGCCGTCGGGAAAAAAGAGAAAAGGGGGAGGGAAAAAAGAGAGGAAAGGAGAAAGAAAAGAAAAAAAGAAAAAGAAAAGAAAAGAAAGAAAGGAAAAGAAAGGAAAGAAAGGAAAAGAAAGGAAAGAAAAGAGAAGAAAAAAGAAAGAGAAAAAAGAAAAAGAGGGAGGAGAGGAAAGAAAGGAAAAGAAAGAAAAGGAAAAAAAATAAGAAAAATTAGAAAAGGGAAACAAAAGAAACGAGGGATGAAAGAGAGGAGAAAGGGGAGATAAGAGCCTGAGAGAGGAGGAGTGGGAGTAAAAGAGAGAGGGGGTTGTTGGATGGAGTCGTCTCGTCAAGGGAGCAAGAAAGACACGGTTAAATATGTTGCTGTGTCGGGTCAGCTGTGTCGGTATTCTTGCTCGATCCTCTTGTACCCTATCAATGCAGAAGTTTGAAATCGGTGAGATGTATATTGTCGGTCGGCCGACAAGATTTTTCTCTACGAACTGTGACTTTTCAATCCGCTGTGACGACTTCTAGAGTGACTACAACTTGTATGTTCTCGAAGTTTCGCTTTCCTATAATATCAGCTAAAGAAATCAGAGGTTTAAAATTTTCGGGGCAACTAAATTCAAACAAGGATTAAGAGTCAACAACGGTACGACGAAATCGTCTTTTTCTCCATATTTTGATGAAACGTCAAAGTTTCCGCGCTACGCGCTAAAGGGGGGAACTGAATACAGACAAATAGGGCTTATTAAGATTCGAAAACGGTACAACGAATAGTCTTCTTTCTCTAATAATTTAATGAAAAGTCAAAACTTCCGCGCTTCGCGCGGGAGGGGGAGATTTGAATTAAGATAAGGATTAAGAGTCGAGAACAGTACACCGAATCGTCTGCTTTTTCTCATAATTTGATGAAACGTCAAAGCTTCCGCGCTTCGCGCGGGAGGGGAGAAACTGAATCAGACAAGGATTAAGGGTCGAGCACGGTTCAACGAATCGTCTATTTTCTCTAATAATTTAATGAACGCCAAAGCTTCCGCGCTTCGCGCGTGAAGGGGAAAAAACATTCGTTCAGACAAGGATTAACAGTCGAGAACGGTACAATAAATCGTCTTCTTTTCCTAATAATTTAATGAAACGTCAAAACTTCCGCGCTTCGCGCGGGAGGGGGAGAACTGAATTCAGATAAGGATTAAGAGTCGAGAACAGTATACCCAATGGTCTGCTTTTTCTCATTATTTAATGAATTTAATGGAACTGAATTCAGACAAGGATTAAGAGTCGAGCAAGGTTCAACAAATCGTCTACTTTCTCTAATAATTTAATGAAACGTCAAAGTTTCTGCGCTTCGCGCGGGAGGGGGAGAACTGAATTCAGATAAGGATTAAGAGTCGAGAACAGTTAACTGAATCGTCTGCTTTTTCTCAAAATTTAATGAAACGTCAAACTTCCGCGCTTCGCGCGGGAGGGGGAGAAACTGAATTTAAACAAGGATTAAGAGTCGAGCAAGGTTCAACAAATCGTCTACTTTCTCTAATAATTTAATGAAACGTCAAAACTTCTGCGCTTCGCGCGGGAGGGGGAGAACTGAATTCAGATAAGGATTAAGAGTCGAGAACAGTTAACTGAATCGTCTGCTTTTTCTCATAATTTAATGAAACGTCAAACTTCCGCGCTACGCGCGGGAGGGGGAGAAACTGAATTCAGACAAGGATTAAGAGTCGAGAACAGTTAACTGAATCGTCTGCTTTTTCTCAAAATTTAATGAAACGTCAAACTTCCGCGCTTCGCGCGGGAGGGGGAGAAACTGAATTCAGACAAGGATTGAGGGTCGAGCACGGTTCAACGAATCGTCTATTTTCTCTAATAATTTAATGAACGCCAAAGCTTCCGCGCTTCGCGCGTGAAGGGGAAAAAAATCGTTCAGACAAAGATTAACAGTCGAGAACGGTACAATAAATCGTCTTCTTTTCTTAATAATTTAATGAAACGTTAAAAATTCCGCGCTTCGCGCGGGAGGGGGAGAACTGAATTCAGATAAGGATTAAGAGTCGAGAACAGTACATCGAATCGTCTACTTTCTCTAATCATTTAATGAAACGCCAAAGCTTTCGCGCTTGGCGCGGGAGGGGGAAAACATTCGTTCACACAAGGATTAACAGTCGAGAACGGTACAATAAATCGTCTTCTTTTCCTAATCATTTAATGAAACGTCAAAACTTCTGCGCTTCGCGCGGGAGGGGGGGGGAACTGAATTCAGATAAGGATTAAGAGTCGAGAACAGTACATCGAATCGTCTGCTTGTTCTCATAATTTAATGAATTAATGAAACTGAATTTAAACAAGGATTAAGAGTCGAGCACGGTTCAATGAATCGTCTTCTTTCTCTAATAATTTAATGAAACGCCAAAGCTTCCGCGCTTCGCGAGGGAGGGGAGAAAAATTCGTTCAGACAAGGATTAACAGTCGAGAACGGTACAATAAATCGTCTTCTTTCCCTAGTAATTTAACTGAATTCAGATAAGGATTAAGAGTCGTAAACAGTACACCGAATCGTCTGCTTTTTCTCATAATTTAATGAAACGTCAAAACTTTCGCGCTTCGCGCGGGAGGCATATCACCGACGCGCCCTCTTTAAGTGATTCGCCTGCTCACTACCGCCCCTCCCTAAAAACAGATCCTAGCTCCGCGCCTGCATTAAAATATATAGCTATGATGCTGAAGTTAGTTGACGAAATAATTCGCATATTTAAGTCGTCGAGGAAAATGACCATTTGCGCATACGCAAGTACTATAGATAGGGTTAAATTTGTAGATATTGGGACATTTAATTTTGTCGGTATTTGGTGGCTAGTTTTGTCGGTAATCGTTGGCCTCTACACCCCCCCACTGAAAAAGGTCTAGCGACGCCCCTGCATGGATGGCTCTGAGCTCGATCTGATTAGAGGAATGCATGTAGTTCAACAACAAAAAATAGCCACAACGCAATGTCGTTATTATTAAAATAGCTACTGACACTACTTGCATTGTTGATGTGAGGTGTGGTCGTGGGGAATCCCATCTCAATGAGTCATCACGTCGGACTAGCCTACAGTAGTATGACTCAGTGGAATTCCATGGGTAAACCATGCCATTTTCCAAAATTGGAATAAAAAATAAATGTTTACTCATTTCTACCTCAAATTGCTCCACGTTTTTAACACACAAAGTTTCATGCCTTCACAATTGCATTTGTGAAAATTGGGCCCGTCTTTGATGATTTCAGCCCCCCCCCCCCCCCCGCGCTTAAAAAACTTCTGGAAAGCGAACCGCTAGTGATTCCCTCCACATCCCATTTCAAAATACACAGTACGGTACCTCGTCTATAACCTTATTCAAGAGCATTTGATGGATCTTTATCCTCGTTTATTGAGATTTTTATTATAATTTTTTTTTTATTATAGTCGTACCAGGATTAATCTAGTACTGATTAAATAACTTTGGATTGCCCCTACATTTTTAAGAATTATATTATTTTGCTACGTACAACCAGCTTGTCATAGAAAATGACTGATCAGCTGCTTGTATTGAGTTCGTTGTTGTATGCATGCAATCAATTTGAACTTAATATTTCGCGTATCGCGCGCCCGTCGACTCAGCGCTAGCGAGCTTGAACGAAATCGTAGTCGTATAGACTCTACTGTAGATATCCGAAATGCTTGATTTAGAACTTTGATCTGCCGTAAAAAAAAATTATTATAGATTTATTACCTCTTGCTCATTTGAATTGGTACGGTAATAATCATTTTACGATGAGTTCTGGAGTAAACAAGAAGGATTCGCCACCTGTTTATCACCTTGAAGATGATCAACAGTTGCATCTGAGCCCGCTAACTTTTTCGAAACTTCAGGTGATTGAACCGCCAGAACGTCGGGTGAGCGAGCCTGCTTTACCCTCGACCTCCGCTAGTAGTAGTAGTAGTGCTGCACAGAGTGCGAGCAACATGGCACACGTTGGTCAGTCATCAAACTCTCTTTCTGTTCCATCTTTGCCAAGACACAGGGCTAATTCTGGTTCTCAAGAGAGCATGGTATTACAGCCTATTGTGTACAGTCTTATGTATTTTGGGAATGTGGTCCTAGATCGGAGAATCACCCAGCCCATGTTGCCATGGTTAATTGATGAGAAACAGAGAAACGGGAGACTGGGCCATGCAATCATCCTGCAGATATCTTCAAAAGGTGCACTTGGTATTTCTGAGAGGAAAGGGTCTATTGTTTTTGAGCACCGTCTGCATAACATTTCTAGATTTTCAAGAGGGCATGATAAGAAATGTTTTGGCTACCTATGGAGACCAGATCCTAACTCCAACTTCAGATGTTTTGTTTTCCGTGCTTGCAGCGATCAACATGATCAAGTGGTAAGAGTTACTAAGAGTCAGACCATGTAGCTAAGGGCTAAGGCTAATCATGTTAATTAATAATAATAATAAAAAGTTTTATTATTATAACTTTTATTCAATTAACAAATTCTTATCATGAGTTAGTATCATTGACATTGAATGCACCATGATTAACTTGCTCATATTATTTTATTTTATTATTTTGAAGTTATTAAATAGTTTCACTGCACCTCTTTGAAGTTTGAGCTTTGTGTTCATTCTTTACAATCTGAGAATAGATTGAATTACTCTTCAATTTGAGACAATAATGACATACTGAACTACAAACGTAAAAGCACAGTGTAAATGTACATTGTATAATATTGAATAGATTGTACATCTTCTTTTATACAATCTCATCTCTTTCAGCCCATATTATTAATTTTTATATTTCAGTATCTTACCTGATAATATAAACCAGATTATACCCTTTTTTCTGTTTTTGTTTATACTGCTCGCTTCTAATACTAATTTGTATTACTAAGTTCTGTAACTTTTTGCAGCAGTGTAAATTCTTTTATATTTTCATTTTCTTTAAATTTGTATGTTTTTATCTATTGCATCTCAGCTGTGCAGGCTACCGGTACATAAATCCTCCTTTTTCAAATAATTTTTAAAACTATTTGGAAAATACAGCTTCGTATACTATAGTAGCCAAATTTAGGGATTAAATTTGCCCTCCATGTATATTTGATGCAATTTAAATAATCTCTACCCACATTGTATGCAAGGAAGCTTTTCTATATTTAGCAAAATTAAAAAGTTAAGTAATTTTGGTTTCGAGACAAATGGAGGAGTCTTGGGCATTGTTTTGAAACTGTCATAAAGTACAAGAATCAAGATTTGTCATTTAATTACGTGTGAAATTTGACACACATGTTTCAAAGGGTTGTCACAAATTTGTAATATGGTTTCATGCCCAGGATATAAACGTAACAATCACAGACCAATTTGCGAATTCCTTTTCCCATTGGTACTGAATATGATGTTTGAAAATTATAACTGAGCTATAGATCTGTATATCTGTATCGTTCCTTTTTTTTCTCATTACCGGTACCTTGAAAATTGCACACACGCATGCGCACACATCTGTCAGTCTCTGGTTGTGGAGCAGCTGGAACTACATCATGTACTGTATAGAGCTTATGCAGTATGCAGTCAGCATAGTCTCACAGTGCAGACACAGTTGTGCGCAGCGACTGGCGATGTTTAATTCCTGCAAACGAGTCACCTGGAAATTGGCTTTGGTCATAGGCTTTCATAGGCAGAAAAATTGATGGAAACATTGTAACTGATTGTTGCCCATCTGTCTAGGTATGGATTAGTGGCTGGTACTAGTGGATGGTGCAGAGGTGGCTGTCTCAGAGCAGATTTGAAAGTTAGGAATTTTATTCTATTGTTAATTAGACCAGACTTGTCTCCATGTACAGTATATTTTGGTTTCCATCACAACCTCTCCATGTACAGTATATTTTGGTTATGTCTTTTTTAGGGAGTTTGTATGAACGCCGTTTAATTAAAAAAAAAAAATTGTGGTAAAAATGCCTTGAGTTCTTCTTACGTCAGACGTACAGGCATCTCACAAGTTTTTGTTCTCGCAGGATGGTCGTACGTGTAACTGACAGCATTCTCAAGTCTTTTGTAAGAAGTTCTTATGATTTTTTTGTATATTTTGTCGGGTTACCAAAATTGCCAAAATTGTGTACGTAAACCTTACAAACAACTTACAAAAGCCAGGAGTCATTCCTACGAGGGCCATACAAATCTCTGTTCGTAAGGCATTTGTAAGAACGCTGTAAGAGCCCTCTATAAACAACGTAAGAATTTGAGGCTTCCGGAATTGTCTCTCGACCCTACGAAATGTATGAAGATCTTGTGTGGTTCTTATAATGTTATTTCTACATTCCTACGGCCGCCTTACAAAGAGAGGGTTTCGTATGAGGTTGAAAAAGTTGTACGAGGTCTTGGACAAGACCATCGACCAGTCTGCGAACTTACGAATGGTCTACCGTACTAACGTTCTACGAATGCTGGTTTCGTACGGCCTTCTTAATAAGGTCTTACGAAATGGTCTGAAAATCGTTTGTACAGCGTTCGTAGCCGTTCGTAATGATATTTGTGACTGAGGCTTTACCCCAAAGATTTTGTAGGTACATATATTCCTGCAATTTGAATTGATGTTCAACCTGTACAAACTTTTTTGGATTGATTTGTCTGATTTTTCTGCTTCTTTTGAAAGTAAGTTATTTTTGGAGTGGACTTGCCCTTTAATGCCCTTCTTGCTCTCAGTATACAATGTACAGATGTAAGAAAACTAATCATCTTGATATACCGGTACTATATGTCATCATTCAAATATATATATTTATTTACATCATCCCCACTGATATGCAACATAGACGAATTAAGATTTAATCCATTTCCTCTTGCTTATCAAGTAACCTTTAACCTCAGAAAACATAAGCCATAGCCCAGACAGTTGTCTGGTTTAGTTAAAAACAGGAAAACAACAGTTTTATATGACAGGATACATGTATGTCTTTACAAAGTTTACTGAATCTGCTGAGTGGGTGATACAAAGATAAACAGTATAATCTCAATATAACTTAAGATGACATTAGTTTACGTTCAAAGGAAACCTCAAACATATTAAGGAGCAGATAATGCCTTTCTTGCTCTCAGCAGACATTGAGCGCTATAGATTGCATGATATTGTCTTTTGAGAGCCAGAAGGGTGTTTACTCTGTGTATGAATACTCACCCTTTTGACTCTCAGCAGATAAGATTTCAAGAGTCAGGAAGAAAGAATTAAAAAGGAACAATTTGAAAAGAGGTAAATGTACTTAAAGTTGATTTGTTGTAGTGAATGTTTTTTGTTCTTAACTGTGGTAGTAGAGAAGGTAGGTCTAACCAACATCCTTTGATTGTTTGCTGTCATTGTTTATAGGACATATACTCATATGATTTTACACACACCCTTCTGGCTTTTCAGCAGACAATGTAATCCATGTGGTAAGGGTGGGTTGCAGAAACAGTCAATCAATATCATTAAAGGGGAAGTCCACCCTGATATTAAGTTGGTTTTAATAGAAGCGGGAAAATTGCTCTCTTTCCTCCCCTTCTCTCTCTCTCTCTATCTCATTTTATCTCTCTCGTTCTCTTTGGCTATCTCTCTACCTCTATCTGTCTGATAATGAATGAACTCTACAAGGACTGCCTAGCATGCATTGTTCAAGCAACCTTACATCTGCCAGATGTAAGGTACATACATGTGCATGTACATGAACGATGATGTATGTACATGAATGTACTGTACATGTACAGTGTATGAGGAAGTATACCAGGTAGTTAACATTTTGTACATAACAGCCTAAATGTTAATCTGAAACGCACTTTTCTAGGCCGAATCCCTCCATGACAATGCAATCTAAAACTAATCGTGTGTTGTTTCTTTAGATAGATCCTAAATTGTACAATATAGCTTTCATAGCACATGGCCATAATAACAATGACTGTTGTTTACTCAAAGAGGGTGTTGCCATAGGTGATAGACCTTCCTGTATAATGTAGGAGTATTATGGAAATGACGGTGGTTTTGAAGATTAGTTCAATATCTTGTACTTTGTTCAGATATCGTAAGATGTAGGAAGTGGAGGAGTCAGAAAAAAGAACAAACAGAACAAAACAAACTTGGTCTATGTGTACTTGTGATGGAAAATATAAACAAACAACAAAACATTCCACTGTAAATTTGTTGGTCATACATGTATTACATTGTACATGTAGTTCAAAAGGCTCTTTAAGTTTGTCTTAGGTTCTGAAAATACTCAAAAATACTCACAACCTTCACAACTCGTGAGATACTCTATTATTGCAAACCCCATCACATTATAAAACAACAAATAAAATTGGGAGATAGAGCATTTGTTTGTGTAGGCTCAAAACCTTGTATAACTTACTTTTATAAATTAGGAAGTCATTATCGTTATTGGACTTTTACATGTACATGTACCTGTAAACAGAAAATATAAGCATTTTTTCATTTTACTGTGTGCTGTAGATTTTAAGCATATCAGGAGCTCTTGCAGCGTTAATTATTTCAACAAATTCTCTTTATGGATAAATATACGACTGCATTGGAATTCTTGAAATAGACATGAAGAGTGTGAATCACCTGGTAATGTAGTGTTTTTCAGGACATAAATTGTCCATTATCACAACTGTCATCATAACTTGTTGGATTGTAAGATTTTACACAAATAAGTCATTCATATAATTTTGTTGGCCATTGCAATACAGGTACATGCAATTGAGTTTAACTAATTCATCCTGGATTACCTGATCAAATGGGTCATTGTACATGTTTAGGTCCCTTGTTCTTTTCTACTGGACATTGGACAATAGGGATAGAACACATAAATGTGACCCATTGAATTCACATCAATTCCATTTTCATTCTACGCTATCACTCCAAGGGGCTACTTTTCAAGCTTGCTTAATTTGTGTTGCATTGAACTCTATGCAATTTTGTTGGGGCTCTTTTATGACTTTTGGGGGCTCTTTTATGACTTTTTGGGGCTCTTTTTGGCATTTCAGGAGCTAATTATTCTTGAGCCCCGTGATTTTTTTCCTGTAACAAATAGGAAACATTTTTAGAAGTGTAATTGAGGGAATTTAATCTGCTTGCTATGTTAGCTTTTTCACATTGTACAATTGTAATGGTACACGTATAAATATTGCCCAGGTATTTCTCAGTATTCTCTGATATTTCCTGGTATTTCTCAGGAAATTACCTGTGAAGTTGCCAACCCTGCCATTTAACCTAAACAGCATTTTGAAAAATCTGTGATTTTCTGGACTGCCAATTACACTTCTGGAAAAACCCATACAAAAAATTGGTGTCTGGTGAGTATTGTGCATGCGCAACTTGTTACACCTCTGTGTGTGATCGCACAGAAGCGAGGAGAGTCACGTGACAA